CCCACCCACCCCCCAGAGCGGAACACCAACACCAGCAGACCAAAGACAGAGGACCATTTTTCAAGACTTGGATTAGCAATAAGGCTAAGCTAACTGGTTGTAGCAATGCTAATGCTTTGTTTTTCTTTCACTGCCTTTTTTTCAAGCATCAGGATCTGACCCAGCATGGATTAAAACAGGTAAGTGAAAAGCTAAATGTCTTCTGTAATGTTTGTTAATCATAGTAGTGCTATATTATAGGTGATTTGTCCTCTTCTTCAAGCCCTCTGACATCTGGCGTACCGCAGGGATCCATTCTGGACCCTGTTCTTTGCTCACTTTATTTATTGCCATTAGGACCCATTATCGCACGTCATAAATTATCTTTTTATTTATAAGCAGATGATTTGCAAATCTATCTACCAGTCACTCCAAATTCCTCTCTTAGCCTAAATTCCTTGGTTAGCTGTTTAACTGATATCAAAGACTGGCTATCTCAAAATTTCCTCTACTTAAATAATGATAAAACTGAATGGATTCTGTTTGATGCGTCCAGTAACTTCTCTAACATCTCTCACATCTCGCACAGTCTTGGTCTTCCACTCACTCACTTAAGCCAGGTGGTAAAAAAATCTAGGTGTGAAACTGGACTGCATCTTGAAGCTTGATAAACAAATCGATTCTGTGGTGAAATCAAGCTTCTTTCAGCTCCGTCTGCCTTCTAAGGTTTCTACACTGCTTAGCCGTAGTGATCTGGAGAAGGCCATCCATGCCTTTGTGAGCTCTAGGCTCGATTATTGCAACACTATATGTAGGAATTAATCAGTCTTCCATCTCTCGCTTACAACTTGTACAAAACTCTGCCGCTTGCTTCTTAACAAATATACGTAAATTTGAACACATCACTCTGTCCTTTCTTCTTTGCACTGGCTCCCGGTTCAGTTTAGAATACAATTCAAGCTGTTGTTATTTGTTTTTTTAAAGCCTTAAATGGCCTTGCACCACCTTACATCTCTGATCTCTTGAAAATCCATCAACCCAGCAGAGCTTTGCGGTCTGCCAGTCAACATCTGCTCGAGGTTCCTCACTCCAAGAGCAAGAAATGGGGGGACTGGTCCTTCTCTGTTGCTGGCCCAATAGCATGGAATAGTCTTCCCTATAAGTTGTGTGCCATCTCTGATGTGGTCCTGTTTAAATCCCAACTTAAGACCTACTTATTCAAAAAAAGGCATTTGGTGTTTAAGTTTTAACATTTTACATATCTTTTTTTCTTTATTTTATTGTGATTTGTGTTTTTAACTTGTACTGATTTTTATGGCTTGATTGTATTTGTTTTACCTTGTGAAGCATTTTGGTCGATGCAAGGCATTGTTGGAAGGTGCTATATAAATAAAGTTTATTATTATTATTATTATTATCATCATCATCATCATCATTATTATTATTATTATTGTTATATAATGGTGAACACACCTCAAAATAGGTCCTATAATACAATATAGTATAATATGATGTACTTATAATATAATATAATAT